ATTGATTTTGTAGGATATCTCGAAATTTGGAATTATGTGATGATTGGAGGGCAAAAGAGACGAATTTGAGCTAAGGCGTGGGCACGCTAATTTCCTACAAGAGTTGGAAGAAGGAAGAAGTCTCAAGTTGGGAAGAGAATAATAAAACCTGTAGGAGTATTTATTTATTTATGGACTATTATTATTTTATAAGGATAAATTGGAGAGAGAATGATCTCTCTCTTATTTTCTACGTATTATCTCTTAGGATTAGGATTAGACTGGTTTGATTAAAAAACCAGACTGCTAGATTTTATATCTGTCATCTTTTTTCTCCCCTCTCCCTCACGCACGCCCCCTCTCTTCTCTTCTTCTCTTTTCTTCTTTTCTTTTATTTTTCATGAATAATTGGGAGACTTCTCCCATGTTTATGGATAATTAATTTATTTTTACAGCCAAAGGATTATTCTAGATTTGGTTCTTCATGATTTGTGAGATCTAATTGAATTTCTATTCCCTATCCTCTTTTATTTATATATCTCTTGTGATTATTACCAATTGTGTTTTGATTGATGCAAATTGGCCATTTGTTCGATTGTTGAAACTCATATCGTTATTTAGGATGGTTAAATCCGTAATTGTTTGATCGTTCTAATATTTGTGGCAAATAGCATAGTTGATTACTAAGGGTTTTCGATTGTATGCTTAGGGAGATATATGATCTAGTCTAAATGATCCTACATGTGCGTTTGTTGGCTAGAATTGGTGGTCCTTCTAGATCTTATTGCTGTTGATAGATTAAATCTTATGATCGTATCTAGGGTTGTCTGTTGATTAGAGAAATAATTAGAGATCGTATCCTGATTATCGAACAAGTAAGGAAGGATAGATTGTTAGGTCGTACCAATAACCATAACCAGTTTAATCGAGAATAGGAGAATTATCTTTGCATCTATGATCGAATCGTTGAACCATCTCTACGAGTTTTTCCTTTGGTTGGATATCTTCTCTATTTCTAATCACTCATTTTGTTCTCGTTTTATTTTCATCTCTAGTTAGATTTATTTTGTTTTAGTTTTCTTAGTTAGATAAAAATCATCAAACCCCCATTATTTTTATTTTTCTTTCTTTCAAGAATAATTGCATCAATACTTTGTCTAGCCAATCCCTGTGGATTCGACCCTGCTTACCACTACTACAGTTATTTTAAAAGCAGGAATTTATTATTGTTGGATTCGACACCCATCAATTTTTGGCGCCGTTGCCGGGGATTGGTTTCTAATTAGACTTGTTTTGGTGCACTTTTCTTTTGTGCAAGAGGCTTATATTTCTATGGAGTTTTATTCTCAGCAGTTCGAGCAAAATGGTTATCACAGGGAAAGCGCATGTCAATCTGAGTTTTGTGGAATTTGTGGCGACTCCCAACACCCAACTCATTTTTGCCCAACGTTTCTATATGAACCTCAAAGGCATTCTCAAGTTGGAAATTTTCAAGAGCCACAACGAGGTAGCTTTGATGGATTTTATGATGGCTGCAACTCTGAGTGGTGGGGTGATTACTCGCCTTCCACGACTTTTGCTAACCCACAACAACATTTATCGAGTTCGATCACATCTCTTGAAGAAATTGTTAAGTCGTTTGCACTTAGCACTTTACAGTTTCAACAAGAGACTAGGAGTAGCCTTAAGAATCTAGAAGATCGTCTAGACCAACTTGTGTCCTCAGTGAGCGAAAGCGCATCTCGAGTTGAATTGTCATCAGAAACGGTGGTAGATACCTCGAGTTGTGGAACAGAGTTGACAGAATCACCGAAGATAGAGCGAGAATTCATGGAGGATTCTGAACAAGTTGTTGTTTTCCAGTCTCAAAGTGATATGCTTCCTAGTAATTTTATGGGTGTTAGTGAATTTGAAGTGCCGAAAAATCTTGACTCGAGTGACTTGGATGAGTTGAAAGTTGTACTTTTCAATGATCTAACATTTGATAATTCACTAGAGTTTCAAGATACCTTATATGAATCATATTGCTTTTCTCTAACCGATACCATATCACCTGTTACTCGTACTGACGATTTATATTTTGTTTTGCAGGTGTCGGAATTGCCACTATTGATTGTTGAGAATTTCATCAAGATTCAAGAACAAAGTCTTTTGCATGAGTTGAAAAAAATTAAAAAGGGAATTGGTTGAGTCCTGAAATAATGTCTAGCCGAAGACGTTAAAGAAAGGCGCTTTTTGGGAGGCAACCCAAATTTTTTTTTTATTTATTATTTTTTTTACTTGATTTTTATTATTTTTAGTAGTATTTGGTTTTTATTTATCTAGTCTAGGTTTGATAGGAATTTCGAATAATTTAAAGGTAGGAACGAATTTTGTTTTATAAAACATAGTCACGCGTAGAATATACTGTTTATCTTCATTTAAGCCGTGACCACGCCTTAATCAATTTTCGTTCCTGTTGGGCTGGTGTACTACCAGGTTTTTCAGCTTTTATTTAATAAAAAAAAAAAAATCAAAAAATCAAATAAATCGGAACTCCTCTCTTTCCTGCCCTAACCTTCTCTCTCTCAGGTGCGCCCAGAAATCGCCATCACGCATCTTCTCTTCTCCGTTCACCCGTCGTCGGACCACCACCGTGCGAACACGCCGCGACCGTCGTGTTCCCAACGACAACCACTGCGACCCTCCGTCACCACGACCTTGGTCCGCCGACCGTAAGAGCGCCGTCAGATAGCAGCGATTCCGACGGTCCTCTGCTCATCTCCCGCAAAGGATTGCACGAACAGCGATTCGGAAGTCCCCTGCTCGATTCTGCCTCCTCTGTTAATGTTCACAACCGCCAACCACCGCGTCCGCTCTCGGAGCACAACCCGGAGAACCGTGCTTCCCAGCCTGACCACTGACAATTCCAATTCCGGTGTCCGCTGCTCTTCTCCCGACGAACCTGCTGCTCCTTTTCTGGAGTAATTGTCAGCCTTCTGAATTCTCTCGATGTATTCGCGTCGTTCCTGTTCAACGGCCGCTGCTCCGTCCACTACTGTCTAACAGCCGCCTGCCACCAGCAAGGCAGCACACCACCACTTCCATTTTGCCTTCGCTGACCGACACCTGAAAGCAGGACCTGCGTGTCACCGCTGATCACCACTGTCCATACGTTCAGGCCCAGGCCCGATTAATGAACCCCTGTTGCTGTCAGCTCAGCCTTGTCAAACAAGGGTCGAGGATTTCAAATTTGGGGGCAGAGCCAGGAGTACGAGTAGCCAAGCATAATGAAAACAGCTCAACACTTCACTCATCCGAGTCCAATTTTCCACGGCTACATACAATGCCCGAACCGTTGGAATATGCAACCGAATCCTCAATCAGGGGAGTTTTCTATTTCCCTTGCCTTGATTTTCTATATTTTACTTGAGGATTGAGTTGGTGCCATTGAGGACAATGTCTATTTTTAAGTGTGGGGTGGGGTGTCATTTGCGATGTTTGGTTTTGTGTATCCTTATATATTATCTTTGGTCGTTAATAATATGGTTGAGATATTTTTCTGAGATTATTTATTCTCTTAGGTATTAAGTCTCATTTATTGTGTCGCTCGTGGTTATTCTCGATTCATTTGGTGCCAATTCGTGAATATTTGATTTTATTTGCACATGAAAATGATTTTGGAGTCCTTGTTGCTATTGAAAGATGGAGACAATGACGAAGACGGTAATCCTTACCTGGCTATTGAAAATGACTCTGACAACACAAATAATTGTTTCCATTATGACCTTGCTTGGTATAACTCTGAATCCGCAAGTATATCCTCTCTTCCGGACCCCGAAAAACCACCGAGCACCTTAACTTCCACCTCCGTTGTTTTGAGCAAGTTCAAAAAGCATTGGGCCTCGCACGATTGGGACAACAACAATGACGACATTTATGACATTCCAAACAGCTCCACTGCATCTTCGTCGTCTCCGTACAAAAAATAGGCGTCTAAGCTTGGCACAAAAAAGGGCGATGTTTTAACTAGGTGGGTCCAAGTGTGTTTAAGCCTTAGTATTGTTCATTAGTAACTTTGAATGTAATAATCTACCATGGCCAACGGTTCATGCGAATTCGAAGGATGGTAGGAGTTGAAATACGTATGTAATTCGTGAAGTTTTTTAATTTTCGGTACCGTGTAAGTTCGTATCTTTTTAATGAAATAATCTCGCCGTTTTTATTTCATCAATTGTCGCTTACATATTTTACCGTGGCCTTTTGTTACCCACAAGTTATGAGGTGTTGTAGTATATAATTTGATTGTATGTATGTGAGACATTTAGCTTTTTGAGTGAACAATTTATTTGGATAGATTCCAAACTCGATCGGCTTGGATTGTAACATTGCATTATTTGACCTACAGAATAATAGCTTCATTGGAGAAATTCCAAGTTCGTTAAAACATCACCTTACAAGCCTTGGATCTTTTTTTTAATAAATCTTGGAGAAACTAGATTCACCTTGTGCCTTTTATCAGGATTTCAGGCACACTGCCAAAATGCATAAACAAGTCATTTGACTACAAAGTACTTTTGCTTTGATGACCTTGATTATTTTTTCGACAATATGATCCAATGAAATCACAAGCCTTGCAGCCAATTCTCTCTTAACATGGGAGTGTACATGTATGATGAAAGGATATGCATAACAGTCTGTAATGATTTTAACTATAAACTGTAACGCAAGATCGCCAACACATTCACAAATGTAACAAGACATAAAACACCTGTAATAATCCATCTTATGTTAATCATTCATTAAAATTTCCACAAAACAATCCAAAACATTGTTCATACATGTTCGAATCCAAAACACTGAAATCTAACTTCAATTCAGTTGTACCAAAAGGATCACCAGAACATTCACCAAAACATAATCAAATCTTACAGGAAATTCAACAGTTGCAATCATCTAGTTTTTTCATAGTACAATAAAGTTTATCCCAAAACAAACCAAATACAGCCTTCATAACATGGAAATAAAATGATTGTGCCTCACTATATATTTCCGGCCAGCTTCATTCGCACGTATTCAGCTCGGGAAACAGGGTCAAGGCTAAAGAACAAATCCAACTCGTCTGTATTTTTTACGAGAAGTTTGGAGACTAGCAACTGCTCTTTTAGGTTCAAACCTTCAATTTCTTTCACAGCAGAAAAAACATCCTTACGACCAGTTGAAACATCATAGTCATATCCTATCCTTTTCGCAATTTCCTCCAAACGAGCACTTGAGTTTTCAACATATTTTTTCATAATTTCACAAAGAGGATCCACACTCTGACCTGACTTTCGTTTACGCCCGACGCTTTTTTTCGTCGCCGTAGAACATGGTTGGGTGCTTTCCGACATTGTCTCGTTAACCTCTTCTTCAATTTCAATGTTTACATCGTTCATATCCATATCCAGAGGTTGAGACGAAGAACGAGCATGGCAGGATAAATTGACATTGCTAGCAGCATCAAAAAGGTCTTCAGCTTGATGTCCTGTCGCCCTGTCCTTTCCAAATATCTCGATCCAGTCATAATAATATGGCCACGACTTGTGACGCATGTGACGAGCATTAGCATCAACCTGATGTTAAACAAATCAAAAAATTACTATAACAATTGTTCAAACCTGAAGAAAATTTGAATACACAAAAGCTTTTTTTTTTTAGAACAATGCTAAAAATATTGTAGTCTTTTAAACATACCTTCACACAGTCCGCCCATGCTTCGTCAGTACAATCAATCATCATGTCTGATTCATTCCACCCAACACCACTTCGTGATAGCATAGTACATAGACTACCATAATCTTTCTTCCAAACATGGATTTTCGAGTTGATATGGGGCATACCTCGCAAATCACTACCTGGTAATTGCTTCGCCAGTTCCTGCTCAAGAACATTGAGAAAGCCCATCTTGAACCCATTTTCAGATTTCCATCCACTCGTGATGATTCCTTTGAGGGCGGCAATAAGAACTTCCTCCTCTCGTCGACTCCAACTTCTTCGACCCTTATCAGCCCGCGGTTTCCTCGGTTTTGGGTTCATTTTTCCTGAAGAGTTCATCATCACTCTGTACAATTAAAAACATACAAGTAAAGCCGCCATATACATTATCAATGAAACACAATATTGCATCAGTATAAATACAAACACATATAAATGGCTGTACACATTATCAAAGAAACAAAAAATTGCATTCAATATAATTACATATGCATGACTACTCATCAAACATGTTAATAATTGCAGAAGCATAAAATTCCAAACAAAGCAATCAGTACAATTGAATTTTCATTACATCTCAAACCTAGAGGAGTTCATATGTCTCACAATTTGACTTCGATGAAAAAAATACATATCCACTCAGTTAATACATCTCCAATCGTTAAACATAGACACAGCTAACGTGTCTCTCCATTCAGACCATTGATCAGAGCTCTCAACACAATCAATAAATGAGAAGTCGTGCTCGTCACTATCTTCATTTTGTTCATCTTCTCCGATCATCATCTCCATGGGATCCACCGGAAGCTCACGTCGAATAAAATTATGCAGTAATACACAAGCCATAATCAGTCTATTTTGAATTTTTATATCATAAAACGTTGGACTACGTAGGATCGCCCATTTTTTTTTCAAAATACCAAAAGACCTCTCGACCACGTTTCTAGCTTTGGAGTGGGCCATGTTGAAAAATTCGTAAGGGGTCTGAGGTGTAAGCCTTCCTTCCCCCCAATCTTTTAAATGATATCTCACACTCTTGTATGGACACAAAAAACCTTCACCGTTTGTGTACCCATTATCACATAGGTAATAGTTACCTACAACAGAAAAATTTTAATTTGTTGTTTACTTTTTTTAATTTTTAAAAACATGAAAACTTGTTTAACAATTAGCTTCAGAAGTCAATCATTTTCTTTCATTACCTCTAGGGATTTTGAAGCCATTAGGTCTATTTATTGCATCTTTAAGAACACGACAATCGGCTGCAGAACCTTCCCATCCACACAACACATATACGAAATTTAGGTTACGGTCGACTACTCCTAGTACGTTCACAGCAACTTCTCCTTTCCTGGTGCGATACCTTGGCTTATCAACTTCCGGTACTGTCACTCTTATGTGAGTTCCGTCTAAGGCGCCTAGACACCCCTATGAAATAATGTTTGCGATTCATAATTTTAGATTGTTAATCACCATTACAACATCGTCATAGCAAATTGTTATTTACTAAGCTGTAAAATGAAAATATACCTTGAACCATTTCCATCTGTTGTTATTGTTGTTTGAATCATCAATCGGCTCAGGTTTCACTAGAAGGATTGAATGAAGACGCAAAATCGCCGAAAGGACCTCATGTACGTAAATGCTCACAGTATGACTAGACCTCTTAAAGTCAAATTTTACAACCTTCATCTTTTTATGATGAGCAATAATAGAAAGAAAGAGTGCAACCTTCTCCGTAACTGATACATATTTTGAATCAGACAGACCGCCAGCTGAACGGAGAAGGTAACATAACCTAGCGAAGGCTCCTTTAGCCATCCTCAAATTTTCCATACAATCTAACTCATTCAATGATACCAAATTGTTCAAATGTTCTACTTGTTTAGGAATCCTATGCGCCATAACATACTTAATTCGTTTTCTATTTTCTTCAGATGATTTGGACCTCTGGTCCACTCTTAATGCTACAACCATATTCAAGAAAAATATACTTTCATTTAATAGTTCTTCCAAAACAAGAAAAAGTTCAGCCTTTCTGCTGTTAATCTCGGTCATTGTAGGCAATACCTTTGACGATCTTTATGAAATAGCAGTAGTTAAATCTGTACAACAAAAATTGTGTATCATGCATCATTCTTGTGAAAAAAATCCACAACATACTTCAAACTAAAATATACAATATTAAGAAAAGTATCCTGGTCACTGTCCGAATACAAGATACTGTAATTTCAAGGTGCAAACAATCAACTTGGGTAATATTAGTTAATTTCACCCCTCACAGAGATCAATGATGCTGGACTAATTAATATAAATTTTAGTACTGATTAAGTACGTAAACAAGGTCTTGGGAAGCTTTACTATCTACCAGAAGCAACCGATAAGCACCAAAAAGAAGCTACCAGATTCAAAGCCCCAAACAATGACATATTTTCTCCCACAAACACAAATCAAATATGCTATTGCAATCTATGAAACAAGTTCATGCACCATATCACTACACCAAACAATGAAGCATGAAGCTAACACGAAAGCAAAATATTGATATACACCATCACTACACCCAAGTTTATACACCATCACTGAGCACATGGAACAAGTTTATGACAGATAAAAAGATTGGATAAATCAAGTACATAGGTATGTGAAAGAAAATAAATCAAGAAGAGAAAAAGGAAGAACATTTGTAGTAGAAAAAACAACTAATGTTTGTTTCAAATCACAGAACTTATGAACACAAGAAAAAGACACAAAAAATCAACTCAATGGAGAAACCAAACAGAGTCTACTTGAGCAATCAACTATTCGCAACTTTATCTCTTCGAATAAAGCTCTTAAATCATGTTTTATGTTTATTGTGTATGGGGTAAATACATTTTAAACAAGCTCTAGACAAGGCCTACATCAAAGCAGTTCAAACAAATATGTATCTCACACATAAACTTATGTATCTACATACAATGAAATTTGAGTTTTTTTTACCTTAAGCAAGATCGAACGAGTTGTGATAATTTAGATGACCCTAAATTTGAGTTCACCTGGAACGAGGTTTGGAGGGTTTCTCGTACTTCGCGAAACAACTTCGGAAATCAATTGACAAAATTGAACTTGAGAATACCTGCTAGAACACAAAAACTTAGATTCCACAAGTAATGAACTCGATTATGGCTTGGAGGAAGAATTATTCTTACCTTCGGTTAGTAGTGATGGAAGAAGTAGAAGGAAGACATTTGCAAACCCTAGTTTTTCGGCGGAGCAGAAAAAATGATTCCCCACAATGTAGATCCAATTATTTATCTGAGGGCATGTTGGTAAAATTGAAAAAAGAAATTAATAGTGGGATAGTGTATCCCGTATGAGAGATAGGATGTTGAATCCATCTTTTTGCTTGTAAAGGTACCGGGCCCAACTAAAATAAAGGGCTTTTCATTAACCAACCAAACAACTTAAACGTATGGATATAATAATATAATGCATGATATCAAGCCCAATATGGGCAACCAAACCGACCCTAAGAGAATAATTTGAGTTATTCGACAAATAGAGAATGGCGATTCTAAGATAAAAGAAAAATTTAGTGAGGAGAAAGACAACATCATCTATATATATATAATTGCTGGCAGATGTATTAAATAAAATCTATTTAATTATACCTACATGGCATTCCCGCCAAAAACCGTTACTTCCCAAGTTTTTATTTTTTTAATCACAAAATCAGATCAACATTGAATGTTGGCCAAACTAATAAGTGTAAAATTAATTAGCCAAAATTCAGCCAATACTATAGTGTTGATTATGTAAAATTCCTTCAATTGTGTTATTCACTATTGACTACAACCCTCAAAACGTTACAATCTCATCTTAAAGATAATATATTTATTATATATAAAAACATTTTTCAGACATAGAATGGTTGGTTTCAATGATCATTTTGGTTTTAATATTGGTCAGTAAATTAACAAATGAGAGAAAAGATCAATAATTACAATTTGAAAACCACCTTTACAAAATCAGGAATATCACAAATAACAATATTAAAATATTCCACCAGCATCATGCAAGAATAGGAGAAAAATAAAAGTTTGATTCATTACTTTAGAAATGCAAATTCCTACATCATTCACATAGATAACGATGAAAAAAAAAACAAAATCTGTTGTTAATAAAAAATAATATAACTTACCAATTATGTAATAAATAATATGCATGAACAAAAATTGTATGGAACCATCAGATGATTTTTTTTTATGGAGACAACCACCACTTAATGTGTTGACATCTGTCAAAATTGTATTTATTGGAGGACACGTGTCAATACACTAGATTGTAACAAAGATTTCAATAAAAAAAGATATAATCGAATATTTCCCAGTAAGCATAATATAATTATATTTTACACTAAATGATATATAGTTACATAAAAATATATAAAAAAATTGTAAAACTTTTGTTCAAGTTATTAATTCTAAATCATTATTATATTTTTTTCTGATTAAGAAATTGTTTTTTTGATAAATTAATTTGTTTTCATGTCATATTAAAATCTCTTAAAATTGCATAAGCAATTGTAATAATAATTCAACAAATTAATATGTTATGATCTCTCAAAATTACAAATATTAAAGTATTTATTACATTATGCATTCAATATAGTGATTCATATACAATCAAAAGATTACGTACTATTTATTTAACCAATGATGAAATTTTAAAATATAATATCATTATTTAACATATAATTTCAATATAATATGTTTATAATAGTTTAAAATGCAATATCTATTATTTAGCTTATAATTTTAATATTATATGCATATAAATAATTTATAATACTTTATTTATTACTGTGCAAATGCACTGGTCGAATACTAGTTTATATATAAAAGCTCCCTCACAAGAAATTAAGAGACATCGCTCCTCGCTTCAGGAAACCCTATCCCCAAATTCCACTCTCAGTCGCGCTCTTCAATTCCGGTTGATTGTCTTTCTCGTCGATGGTGATGCCCCGGCTAGGGGTCGTCGATAACCGCTCCACCCTCCCCTGAAGAAGCACGCCTTCGATGTTGCTGTGGCAGATCCGCGATCGGCAGTCGGGTTCTAGGTTGCTGACGAGGTTCCAGTCTACGATGGTGTCCTTCAAGGTCGGCGACTAGCCTGCGAGTGTTGTCTTCCCCTCAGTCGCCGGTGGTTCTACGATTAGCGATGGTATGCCCTTCCATCTTTCCTTTGTCTGCGATTCTAGAATTCTACCTTTTTCGGCAGGGCTCCGTCGCTTTGGTGGGACCTGGGACTCTGGTCGTCGGTTCTCTGTGGCGGGGTTGGGCGGGGTGTTTGTCTTCGGGCAGGGCGGGGCTCCGATTTTTGTGGCATCCCGGTTGCGGCAGTCGGGGTGAGGGTCGGGTTTCTCTCGCACTATCCCCCGTTTGACTAGTGGTGTTAGGCAGCGGGGGAGGTTCTATCGGCCTCGTCTAGTGGTGTTAGAAGAGTTCGGATGGAATCGGTGTGGGGCAGACTATGGCTCTCTCGGTTTTTGACAGGTCGATTATGGGACTGGTTCGGGGTTAGGGTTTTGCTACTGTATAGGCTTGATTGTTGTTTCTGTAGCAGGTTCTTGGCCTGGATCTTTCTTGTGACGATCGTACACTGCTAGTTCGGGCTTGCTCGTTCGATGGGGAAGGGCGTTTAGATTTATTTAGATTATATGTGTTCTTGTGTTAGTTTTCGTATATTTGTTTTGAGTGTATTGTGTTTTTGGTTTGGGCCGTTGGCTCCTGTGAGACCGAGTGTCAAACTTATTATCCTGTTGGGATATGACACTCGGGTATTACCCTGTTGGGGTCTTTTTAGTTGTTTTAGTGGTCTGTGTCGTTGATTAGTTTAGTTACAAGTGTTTTTTTATTCTAGCGTTGCTAGTGGGTATTCTAGGTGGTCTTCACACCTGTCCTCCCAGTTTTTCAGCTGTTGGCTACTGTGTATTCAGTCGTTGGTTGTTGTGTATTTGCACATTTATGCATTTTGATTTATAATGTTATCTATCATTTTGGGAAAAAAAATATAAAAGCTCCCTCATATTATGATAATTATATTTAAATTTTAGCATTATTTTATCTCAACATATATATTTACAATGCAAATGTTTTTTATTCTTAAAAATAAAATGTGGGTCGACTAGATTTACCGACCCATGGCCCATTTCCTAGTCGATCAAGATAGTATACGTTTTGGTCGGTTTGCTTTCATAAGAATGTAAGGAGCAATTGGTTGAATTTGGTTTTAGTCCATTGGATTTGGTCAAATCTAGAGCTATTAAAAAAAATGTGCAGCTCGTGATGTCGGCTCGGCTCGTTAAGACTCGAGTTGGGCTCGAATCATTTGATAAACGAGCCGAGCTCGAGCTCTCTTGATAAACGAGACAAGATCAACCTTGT